CCCAAGGTTCCGGAACCGGGGTCCACCTTCGGGCCCCGCCCGATCCCCCCTCCCCCCCCCAGGAAAAGGCCCCATCTTGCGGTCCTCCCCGGCCGGACCGACTTCCTTCCTAGGAACGCACGTTCGCCGGGCGCTTCCCGCCCCGCCCTGCGCTTTGCAGTTCCGGGCGGGGACCCAGCCCCCGGACGAGGGTTCCGGCGGAGGAAAGGAGCCCCGACTCCTCCCCCTCGTCCCCCCTCCCCCACTTGCCCGAGCGCGGACCGGTTCCGGGGTCCTTGGCCGGAGCGCTCATCATGAGACAGCGCTGGTAATGACCGTGTGCTCGGAGCGTGCTCGTGCCCCCAGGGCCGCATTTCCACGCACAAGGGGGCAGAAGAGGGTCGCTTTGCGGGAGTGAATGGCCTCCCCAGAAGGTACCGATGGACTGACTCAGTGCCCAGAAAACCAGTCCCACTGAGTGCTGGCATTCCCTGCATGTGTTTGACTCAAACAAGGGACGCCTTGGGTCTCCTAGCCTCCTTGCCAGGGTGTTTGATAAAGTTGATTGAAATCTTGAAGTTCAGGAAGTTTTGACTCCTTTCCCTTTGCAGAAAGAGAGGAGAAATACGTGCATGTTTGACCAGTCCCAACTCTGCCAGGTAGTATCTTGATGAGGATACTGCGACTCAGCAAAGTTGCCTGACTTAGCGAAGGCCGCACAGCTGCTGAGGGAGTGGCAGCCTGGGCGGGAGCCACATCTGCCTGGCTGCAGGTCCCTGCGTGTGACCGGTCGCCTGCCGAAGAAGGCACGGAGACAGGTGCTACCCTCGGGCACCAGGCATCGGAAGGAGCCATCTTCTGGGTTTGCATTCCAGCTCTGCCATTCGCTGGCTGAGTAACCTTAGTGCCTGGGCTTCAGCTGACTCATCTGTAAAACAGTCCTGAGAAGTAGTACCGATCTGGTAGGATTGTTATGTGGATGGAATAAAGTAGGCAAAGCCCCTAAAAGAGTGCATAGCACATGCCAACAATAGGTAAGTGTCAGCTCTACTGTTATTATCTATATAAAAAAGAGTAATATGCAAATGGTCATCATGCCCTCATGCTGTCATAACGGCTCAGACACTCAACACTGGGGAGAGAGGAATGGGGACCAGCCAGGCACAAATGAGCTCATGAGAGAGGAATGGGGACCAGCCAGGCTGCTGCCCGGGAGAGGGACAAGCTGCATGCCCTGCGGTCCCAGGCACCAGTGGCTGCGCCTGTGGCCTGGGAGAGGGACGAGCCACCCGCCCACGGTCCCCTGTGGCTGCAGCCAGCCTGGGCGAAGCCGGCCCAGGTCCCAGGTGCCTGCGACTGGCCGGAGGAGGGAATCCTGGGTCCTGGGCGCGGAACGAGGCAGAGGCGGTTAGGGGCAATCAGGCCGGAAGGGGAGCAGTTAGGGGTGATCAGGCAGGCAGGCAGAGGTGGTTAGGGGGTGATCAGGCAGGCAGGCAGAGGGGTTAGGGGCAATCAGGCAGGCTGATAGGTGAGTGGTTAGGAGCCAGCAGTCCCAGATTGCGAGAGGCAGTCGGACATTCCCCGAGTGGTCCTGGATTGGAGAGGGTGCAGGCCAGGCTTAGGGACACCCCCCGCCCCCCCCGCACGAATTTTGTGCACCGGGCCTCTAGTTACATATAACAGGATTCACCTGATGCTCCAACAGCTGAGGATGATACATCAGGCCAGCAGCTTCCCATCTCCAGGGCCACCTTCACACTGTGTTTTATATCCTCCTTGTGTGTCATATAAGTTTACATGAATGATAACCCCTGAAATTATTCAATGCATCTGTTCTGAAAAGATGCCATGTACCCCACATTCCAAAGACAGGCACAGGATCACAGATTGTGGGGGACTGACAAAAGGGAAATCGGAAATCTGATTCTTGTGCCTTGAGCCAATCCCCGTCTTAAACATATAAAAGGCTTGAAGGTGCAAGTTAGAGAAAAGCTCTTCTGAAGAGAGTCGTTGAAGCACTGGGGCATGTTTCCTCCCTCAGAGGAGAAAGCGTTTGCCAGGGGACTGCTCAGGGGACTTTTGGTCTCTGGAGTCTGGGAAGCAGAGCCATGCAACGAGAGGCTATGGCTAGCGAGCTTCCAGGTGGCTGGGCGGGAAAAGAGACAGAGGGAGGGGGGAGGGCTGCTGGGGAAGCAGACCACGTCTCCAAACACGTGGCTTTCTCCTCTGAGGGCCAGCTGGGCCTTGGAGAGTGGACCTGCAGCTCTCTGCACACAGAATGTGCCCAAGAGAGCTGCCTAGAGAAGCTCCATGATGCAGCAGGCAGACAGCCCCCCACCAAGAACCCAGCTGTGTTCATCTTATAACTGGAGGACAGGCATCTATCACCTGCCTCGTGTAAGTGGCCCTTGGAGAAGACCAGCAGCAGAATCTCCAAGATAATCCCAAAAAGTACCCACTGAGTGGAAGAATCAGCCTTGAGTGGGATGGAGCCAGAGAGCACAGCAGCGCATCACCACGGCACCAAGTGAAGGTGGGTATCTCCCCCACCTCAGATTTTATCTCCCCCACCCCCCCACCCCCTCCCCAGGCGGGCTCAGAAACAGCAGCTAGCGGGAGAGGGGAGGGCAGGGAAGAGGCTGACCACACCCTCTACCTCATTGCAAGCTGCAGGGGGCGGGGGGGGGGTGGTGGAGAGGCTATAGTTTTGGTTAAAGTTGTGGATTTTTATCACTGCACTGTTTAAGTGCAGATATGTGGCTATACTGGTGGTGAGTGTAACCAGACAACTTTTCACTATCTGAGGGTGACCAGAAAAGCCCTGGAACATGCTAGAGGCTCCATCTAGGCCAGGGAAAGAAATAGCCCAGAGAGAGGGTTTCAGGGTAATGGGAAATGGTTTCTGCTTATGAAGTATCAAGTTTAACTCATTTAATATACTGCTTTAATAAATATAAATGAGAGAGAGAGGTTGAGAGAGAGAGAGACAGAGAGAGAGACAGAGAGAGACAGAGAAAGAGAGAAAGCGCTAATGCCTTCAATAATGTGAATTGGGACAAAATGTGATTGGCTATCCTCCTTGGCAGGTAGGACAAGACCAGGCAGAGAAGTAGCAGGCAACCCTTTCACCAAACCAACAGATAGAGTATGGGTACCCCCAGTCCACTATCTTTCTGGTCCGCTCTCCCCAGAACAGGCTGATTAAATGGGCACCTGCTAACCTGGAGACAGCCCTGGAATCAATCCCCTTACCTGGTCCCAGGAACCCAGCTACATAGCTAGGTGGGAAGACAACTACCACTAGGTGGCGCCACAGTGCAGCTGAGCCAGGTGACATTTGAACCTGTGTTAAAACTCCCAGCTTGGGACTTCCCGGGTACCCCCTCCCCCAGCGTATTTCTGTAACTGCACAATCACCCCACATCTTACACAACTGGATCTTTTGGACCCCAGGATATCATAATAATTTCACTATGTTATCCATGGACCCAGAAGATTGTGCTCTGTATTTTCAAGTAAAGCTATCGATAGCTCGCTGCAGAACGTGTGGTTTTGCTACTCCGAGGACAGACTTCAGAAATATGCCGTTCAGTTGCCCAGGGCAGTGAAGGAGGACAGGCCCTGGGAAGGACTCTGTGTCCCAGTCATCCCAAAGGCACACAGTCCCCTTCCCCCTTGCTGTCTCATTCCTATTCAGCTCAGCTAGCACCTTGCAGCAAATCCTGATTAATGTCCATCTCCAAACTGCTAGTTTGCCCCAATAATTATTTCTCCTTTTCCTTAAATTTCTGGCTTTCAGCTGGACATATGGCTGCCCAGAATAACGACTTCCTTTCCCAGCCTCCCCTGATAGCTCGGCATGGCCATACCCCTGCGTTCTTGTCTGTGGCCTGTCAACAGAAGTGTCCTTAAGGGAGATGGCATGTCCTCCTTGCTCTTCCTCCGTCCTGTTGTCTGGAATAGGGATGTGATGGCTGGCGCCGGAGCAGCCATATGGGACCATGAGAAGAGACCCATGTACTGAGGACAGCGGAAGGAAACAAGAGAAGGGCCTTGAGTCCCTGACACCCAGGAACGCCGTGCTAGCTGAAACTGTGGCTTTCAGGTTCTTACCTGGGTGAGAAATAAACATCCGTCTTCTTCGTTTAGTGTTTCTGCCCCACTTGGCTGAAGGTAGTCTTCATTATATGCCCCCATTAGTTATCTCTTGCTACAGGACGAATCGCCTCAAAATCTAGTGACTCAAAGTGCAAACACTCATGATCACTTGCCGCTTGCATGGCGAGGGAGTGCAGGAGCCGCTTGGCTGGGCTCCTGGCCGGGACTGCCAGCGTCTGAGGCTGCTGAGGGCGGCTCAGCTGGTAAAGGCAGCTGGCCCTGGTGACCGTCCAGCAGGGACCTCATCCTGGGCTGCTGGAAGGTTCTCAGGAGATGGCTGCTGGCACCCCTACCCCACCCCCTGGCCACCAAAACAAGTGAGCTTGAGAATCAAGCCAACTGAGGGATATCTTTTATGACCTAGCCATCAAAGCCACCCACTGTCACTTCTGCAATATATTATTGGCCACAGATGCCCATTCAGCGTGGAAATACACAGAGGTGTGAGGGCAGGTAGACAAGGCTCATTGGAGGCTCCCACAACCCACTTCTTCCCTGACGGCTTGGTATCTGTTCCAGTAGCCAGTGATAATCCCTCCATATCAGGGAAAGGTATTTTTGTACAGTGGCCTCAGGGATAAATCATGTCCCTTCTACACCAGCTATTGTTGCCATTAAATTTGTTGGCTCAGCTTGCTTAGCCTATTTTTCACAATTTACCTGATTCAGAGAGCCGTTTGGAGATGGCTCACGTTTAAACATCCTCTTTTTCCCCTCTGAATTTCCTCCAGCTTCTCGGCTGAGCCAGAGTCATTGAATTTTACGCCTTTGTCAAAATAAGCTGTCAGCAACTGGGCCAGATCTATGAGAGGGCGACATCGTTTGCGCTGCCCCAGCTTTCACCTTGCAGTGTGTGGACCGGAGGGGGCCCGGCAAACAGACATAAATCCGGAGCTCTATAATTCTCTCTCCCCCGAAGAAGTGGCCATAAAGCCCATCACTCCAGATATATGGGGAGAGAGAGACAAAGGACAGCCCGCGATGAGTTTCAGAGGGGCCGTAAAACGGAAAAGAGAGACCTCACTCATGGTGGCGGGCTCATTAGAAGCCAGCCAGGCAGGGACGTGATTGACGGTGGGGTGCTGACTGGCCGGCGGGGCCTGAATGTCACTCCCTGTCCCACCCCCGCCACCCTGAGCACTCCTCAGCCCCTGTGACTGATGCTGATGGCTCTTGGGAAATGGTGCTGCTTTCGGAGTCTGAACAGGAGAACTTGGCCTGCGGGTGGTCGGTGTTTAAGAACAGACTGTGCTCCAGATGAATAAGTGGTCTGAATGCAGGCGCCCCAGCTCTGCCAGGACCCTCCAGTCCCGTGACCTGCAGGAGAGACTCGCTGTACATCACACACAGGCCGCGGGCCTGTCTTCTCAGCCTCCGCCCCAGCGTCCTTGCTTCACCCTCCCTCCTTCCTGTCTGTGAAGACTGATCACAGCTTTTCCTGTTAGCAAAGGCTTGGGTTTTTATTTAATGCAGACCGAAACAAGACAACGTGATATACTTTGAAAAGGGGGAGGGGATAAAGATGGTCAAGATGTTTTAAAAATATATTTTTTATTGATTTCAGAGAGGAAGGGAGAGAGAGAGAGAGAGAGAGAGAGAGAGAGAGAGAGAGAGAGAAACATCCATGATGAGAGAGAATCATTGATCGGCTGCCTCCTGCATGTCCCACACTGGGGATCAAGCCCACAACCAGGGCATATGCCCTGACCAGGAATCGAGCCATGACCTCCTGGTTCATAGGTCGACACTCAACCACTGAGCCACGCCAGCCAGGCAGGTCAAGAATTTTTAAAAATGCCCGGAGAAACTAATTTTGATATGGAAATTTATATTGCCTGGGCTTAGGTACCAATGATGTTACAATGATAAGACTGGGAACATGGGAAAGCTGCTGCAAATGTAGCTCTGAACAATGATGTTCCAGTTACTATGGCTACATAACAAATTACCCCAAAATATAGTGGCATAAACCGTCCATTTATTATGCTCATAGATTCTGTCGGGGGGTGGGGGGGTGGGTGCGGGTGGACCTGGCACAGCAGGAATGGCTTATGTCTGTTCCTCAATACATAGCACCTCAATTTAAAGACTCCCAGGCGAGGGGTTGGGCTCATTTTGACGGTTTCTTCACTCAGGTGATGGTTGATGCTCCTGTGGTCTATAGACTATTGGGGTGCCTCCATGTTGCCTGGGCTTTTCCCACAGATGGAGGTTTTCACCAAAGAACCAGCTCAAACTCGGCGGGGTACTTCCTCCGTGGTTTACTGAGAAGGTTAAGATCTCTGGTCAGTTCAAGGGAATCTCGTTCCCAACTCCCCTGAAGGGGGAGCGACCTTTGGCTTTGGCAGATTATGTTGATTGGTGAAGGGAATAATTTGAATGGGCGTGGGCCCGTGACGAGTATGGAAATTTTCT